AAACACACACATTTCTTCGGTTAAGCCTTGCATGACTTTGGGACGAATTAAAAATTAGTCATAATAAGCGGGCTAAAAGTTTATTATTTTAGTAGTCGACTAAGAAATTCTCGACAGGGTAGTAATACATATAAAGATAGACACGAAAAATGTTGGTGAGCCGAAAATCATTATAACAACATATTACACAACCTAAGAAACCTAAGAAAAAAGATTTCTGTTTTATCATCTTCTTTATTAAGCTAACTATATTAAACAAAAAAACTTTTTTCAATTATCTTCATTATAAACAAAATGGCGCCATTTACATTTGAGCCCTCTCATTAAGCTATGGACACCCGTTTTTGTGACGGTATCTGCTGCTCTCTGCCAATTAATTTCGAAATGCTACTAATTTTAGATGTCTTCTTTCGTTTGTAACTATTTTCTTTCTATAATTTTCAACGGGTCGCCATTGTGAAGAGTTTGATGGGTTGTGGTCCTTTTGAACAATATCTACCCCATATCTGACATACCAGTTCATGGCAACAGGGCTGTAATGGCTCAATGCTAACTCGCGTCAGAACAGAACTGAGCCTTTATGTTGCTTTATGAACGACAGCAAACGTTATTGCAAACACTTTTTCATATAAATTTCTTTATTTTTAGAGCCCGTGATCAGCGTTGCCATTTTAGCCGTTTTCCGGTTTTGATAGCAACTAGCCGGAGAAAATTCGATCTAGCCGGCAGCCGATTTGTTAGCCGGTTTGTAAAAAAAAGTTAGCCGTTTTTAGCCGATTTTACTATTTGCCTAATTTTCAGGTGCAAAAAGTAAACAAGTGGTTCGAAAGCAATAATGCATCAATGTTTTACTTTCGCATCTATGCTCCCTAGTGGTTATTAGCGCGGACACATTTGTTCCTATATGCTCCCCGTTGGAACCATACCTTGCTCCATTTCCTCAGTTTTATCACAGTTTTGAAGAGTATTTAAAAACAAAAGTAAGCACAAACGCTTTTGACCACGAAACCGAGAAAATAATTCGAGAAAATGGTCGCTTTTCGGTTGGAAATGCATTAAGAGTAATTAAACCAAAAGTATTTGTTCAACTACAGCAACAAAAACACAAATATAATGCCGACGAAATAACATCCATAGAGATGCAATGGCAACGGTTAACGTTACATACCTGGAGTAATTTAGACTCAACTGTAAAATTTTGGGCCGAAGTTTATCAATTTCGAAATGCCCTAGGAGAAAACCCTTTTGCTGACCTTTGCAACCTAGTTTTTAGTTTTCTTGTTTTGCCTATAAGTAATGCAGAAGTAGAGCGAATATTTAGTTCAATGAATATAATAAAAACTAAGCAAAGAAATCCCATGTGCGTTAAAACGTTAAACGCTATTTTATATATAAGATACGGTTTAAAACGTGAAGAAAAATGCTGCCATAATTTTACTGTAGATGACGATCTCTTAAAATTAATGAATTCAGGTGATATATACAATAGTGATTCATTTGATGATGAGGAATATACACCCGATATATATTAATGGTGTTAACTAGTCTTTCGTTTCTTGCGATTTATTTAAATAAAGCATGTGGATTTTCACTAAAACATTTTAGCCGTTTTTTGCCAGAGTCTATGTGAAATTTCACTAAAACATTTTAGCCGCTTTTTTTGCCAATCTAGCCGGTCGGCCCAAAAAGTTCTGGCAACACTGCCCGTGATAATAAATTTTTTGCTCTTCGTGCCACACTGGCAGAGTGCTTGCCACACCAAGTATATATTAGGCCAAAAAAATAACAAAAACCAAGGAGCTTGTCCAACATTTTTAGCTTGAAGGCATCTTGGTCTTTATTTGTCTTCCTTGCATATAAAGCTCAGCGCCCCGAACCTACTTAAAGATTGCTTCGACGTACATATGTTTCCTCGTCCACACATACTTTTTCTTGCTTTTTGCACAAAATTTTCTCCGCAAGCTCACACTTCGCCGAACATATTTCGAAGAATACGTAGAAGTTACAAAAAGTAGATACGCAGTTAGCTTTACGCAAGTGGTGAGTTAATATAATCGACTAGTTTTTTTCGTGTCCATTCTTTATGTACATATGTATGTATTTCAAAGTATTTTATCTTTTATATACTAATAAAAGACGTGATAGACTTAAAGATTTTGCATATTAATACCTACCTTTATGTAAATCTACCACATTCTTTGGAATCAACCTCAATTTTTAAGGCTTTTCTACCACAAAAAATATTTATAGTCCGCACACTGCCTATCGGCATAAATCTTTAATACATACTTACATAGATACTCATGATTTCATGCCACATTTATGCCACCCGTGTGCTCTTAGTTCGATTACCGCAGCTGGCCACAGTGATGGAAAAGTAGGCACAATAGTGCCATTTTTGCCGCTTGCATTCACAGAGGCACTTTTGGCACAATTCATTTAGTTTTGGCTCAATCATATATTATAGAAATTTAGCATAATATGCCAATATATAACAAACTATCACATATAAGTAATAGATCCGAAAAATGAAAATTAAGATAATTTAAAACGGAAAACAAAGGCTATTATATGAAATTAATAAAAATTAATCAATGTAAAGAAGAATAGTCAAAGCTGGTCAAAATGTCACGCTGCTTTATAGGTAAATGAGTAAACAGCTATATTTCAATGTTTTCCTCCTTCGTAATTGAATATTGAGCCGTATGAATAAAAATTAAGCAACTGCTTTTTCTTAAAATTTCACTTTTGATTTGAACAAATCAAGTAAAAGATCCGAAATTTTAAGAAAAAGCAGTTTTTTAGGTTTTATGCATACGGTCCATTGTGTTATTTTACTATGAATTTACATAAGCCTATGAGAACGACATTTTTTCCTTTTTTTCTGGGGAACTCTTGAAGCCAAGTTTTTCTAAAAGTCTGGATTGTACATAGAAAAGTAATTTCTCAGTTGGCGATTTTAAGCGTGTTTTTTCAATTTGAAGTTGGTAGTCGCAGTGCAGCTGTTAAAACCATTAACCCTCCGTGTACGAGGTGGGGTATACCACACCCAGCGGTTTTAAAGTCGTAATAATTCTTAAACAATAAAAACGATCTAGTTCGTTTTCTCAGTAGCTATAAATTCAACGTTGCCGTTCAGATTAGCGCAATTGAATAAGTCCAGCTTTCGCCTAGGGATGTAAAACAACATGGATGTATCGAGCAACATCGATGGTCGTGGCTTCAAACATCGATATTTGTCGATGTTTTTACGAATCCGATGTTAAATCAAACCATCAAAGATGTTTCTTGACTAATTTTTCACCACTTCATTTTATGCGCGCTTTAAAATTTTGTGCCAGCGATTAATAAGTACTTTCGTGGAATCATGCCCAAGTATGTTTCTTTAATAAATTTCCATATTACATTTAATAAATGTTGATATGTATACGTATATAAGTAAGAAATACTTAAATTAGTTTATAAGTAGCCGCGGGATTTTTGGTAAAAATAAACTGCAGATTCAGATTTCTCGTGTCCTAGTGCCCCCAGAAAGGTCTTTTGATGGTATATATATTTGCATTTTAATCACTTTTAATTATTTTAAATACTGCACTACGGCTTCCAACTCCAAATTGAAAAACACGCTAAAAATCGCCAAATTAATTTTCTATATACATACCACTCAGACTTTTAGGTAAACTTGGTGTCATCAATTCCCCAGCCGACTGCCGAATAATATGATCCAAGGAATTAATAATTATTATATTATTTCAGTGTACTTTAAAAATACTATTTTTGAAGATACATATATGTATCTAATTCTAATGTTGTGGTACTTTCATCTCCTTTTCGGCACTATTTTTGCAGTCCATTAGGCACATTTTGAAATTCCATCTCTGCTTCGCCACATATCACTACTTTGCTTTGAGTTTACTTGCCAGCCTGTGTCGCTGACTGCTTCGGTCTTGGTCTCCACTTTGCCTATCTCTTCGCGTACACACGTTCATTTTTGTTTAGCGTAAGTTGCCCTGCTGCTCATTATTTGTTTGAGCGTCGCCGTGTTAAGTTGTAAAAAGAATTTTGAAATCGCACCGCTCTTCGTAGTCGTCGGTGGCGCGCGATGGAGAGTGAAAAATATGCATGTTTCATTTATTAGAAAAGAAAAAA